CCAGGTCTGACCGGCTTCCTCCCCTGCCAGCGGATCCAACTCACAACCAGGTGGTGATCGGTTGACAGCTCCGCCCCTCTCTTCACCCGAGTGTCCGAGACACGCGGTCGAAGGTCAGATGATACAACAACAAAGTCGATCATCGACCTCCGGCCTAGGGTGTCCTGGTGCCACGTGCACTGGTGGACACCCTTGTGCTCGAACATGGTGTTGGTGATGGACAAACTGTGACTAGCACAGAAGTCCAACAACTGAACACCGCTCGGGTTCAGATCAGCGGGGCCGTTCTTCCCTATCACCCCTCTCCAAGTGTCACTGGCATTTCCCACATGGGCGTTGAAGTCCCCAAGGAGAATAACGGAGTCCCCGGGCGGTGCACCGTCCAGTACACCTCCCAAGGACTCCAAGAAGGCCGGGTACTCTACACTGCCGTTAGGCCCGTAGGCCGTCACAACCGTGAGAGACTTGTCCCCCACCCGAAGGCGGAGGGACGTGACCCTCTCATTCACCGGGGAGAACTCCAACACGTGGCGGCTGAGATGGGGGGCAATGAGTATGGCCACTCCAGCTCACCGCCTCTCCCCGCGAGAGACACCAGAAAAGTGGAGCGTCCAACCCCTCTCAAGGAGTTGGGTTCCAGAGCCCAAGCTGTGTGTGGAGGTGAGGCCGACTATCTCTAGTCGGTATCGCTCGACCTCCCCCACAAGCTCTGGCTCCTTCCCCCCCAGCAAGGCGACGTTCCACGTCCCAAGAGCCAGATGTTGTGTGTGCGGACTGGGTCGCCGAGGTCTCCGCCTTCAGCTGCTGCCCAGTCCTCTCAGCACCGTTTCGCCACCACGGACCCCTCTGCAGGTGGTGGGCCCACAGGAGGGACTGCCCACGTCGTCCTTTCGGGCTGAGCCCGGCCGGGCCCCGTGGGCTAAGGCCCGGCCACCAGGCGCTCGCATACGAGCCCCGACCCCAGGCCTGGCTCCAGGGTGGGGCCCCGGCTGCGCCATGCCGGGCGACATCACTGTATGTCTCTTAGTGCTGTCCATGGTGTCTTCGGACCGCTCTTCGTCTGACTCGTCACCTGAGACCTGTCTGCCATGGGAGACCCTACCAGGGGCATGAAGCCCCAGACAGCATAGCTCCCAGGATCATCCGAGTTCTCAAACTCCCCCACCACGTTCAGGTGGCAGTCCAGGGGGGAGTCATTGAAACGTTCTATTAAATCTGCAAAGCGCAGTTACGGGGACAGGTTAAAGAGTTATTTTAAGGAAGATGACCCTTGGCGCATATGGAACGGTATTAAAGCCATCACATCGTGGAAACCTAGTGCTGGGAAAATTGCATCTGTCAGCCAAGCTCTGCCAAACGAGCTGAACACGTTCTACTGTCGCTTTGAATCCGCTGATGCCTGTCCTACTGTATTCCCTGAGTGTTTCAATCAAGTTGCCTTCACCGTGACTCAGGAGGAAGTCAGGCGTGTCTTGTCCAGGACCACAGTCCGGAAAGCCCCAGGCCCGGACGGCATCCCTCCTCGTGTCCTGAAACTGTGCTCTGAGCAACTTGCCCCTGTGCTAACAGACATTTTCAACCTGTCGCTAAGGAACTGTACTGTGCCGAACTGCTTTAAAGAGTCGACCATCATTCCAGTTCCTAAGAAAACTCCTGTGACATGCCTGAAGGACTATCGTCCTGTGGCCCTCACGTCTGTTCTTATGAAAACTTTTGAGCGGCTTGTGCTGGACTTCATTAAGAACCAGATCCCTGTGAGTGTTGACCCGCTCCAGTTTGCTTACAGACAGAACAGGAGTGTGGAGGATGCCATCTCCTTTGCTCTGAACTCTGTCTACAGTCACTTGGACACTAGTAAATCTGTCGCGAGAATGCTTTTCATCGATTATAGCTCTGCTTTTAACTGCTTTGTCCCAGGTAAACTGATTGAAAAGCTCATGTCTCTCGGTTTAAGTGTTGCCATGTGTAAATGGATTTTTAGCTTTTTAATTGACAGATCTCAGAGAGTGAAAATCAATGACTGTTTTTCTGATGTTGTTTTTGTGAGCACTGGTTCTCCTCAGGGATGTATTTTGAGTCCTTTGCTTTTTACTTTGTACACTCACAATTGTGTGTCCTCCTCTGACTCAAACTTGATCATCAAATATGCTGATGACACCACCATCATCGGTCTCATCAGTGACAATGATGAATCCTCTTATAGAGCAGAGATACAAAATGTGGTTCAGTGGAGTCAAACTAACAACCTCCAGTTGAACGCATCGAAAACATGTGAACTGGTCTACGACTTCAGTCGCAATAGTTCTCATTTGCCTGTCGTAATCGACAACTCCCAGGTGCAGATCGTAGAGGAGTGCAAGTTTCTGGGTTTAACTCTGTCTAACGACCTGAAATGGGTTAAAAACACTGACCGGGTCATTAAAGCTCGTCAGCGTCTCTACTCTCTGCGTAAACTTAGAGAATTTACCACTAACTCTAAGATTCTGCTTAACTTTTACTTGTTGTTGGTTCTGTGTTTGTGTGGTTTGGAAACATCACAGATGAAGAAAAGAGAGCTTTAAACAAGGTGCTCCGCTCTGCAAAGAGGACCGTGGGCTGTGAGCTTCCTGTTCTGGAGGTTCTTTATAAATCCAGACTTTTAAACAAAGCTCTTAGGATTGTTAATGACTCTTCTGGCCACCCTGGAAAAGCAATGTTCCAGCTTCTTCCCTCTGGCAGAAGATATCGCTCTCTGAGATGCAGGACATCTCGTTACGCTAACAGTTTTTATCCACAAGATGTTATCAGTGTGAACAGAGCACTTTAATGATTTGCACTTGTTTTGAAACGGTTTTAGTCGATCGATTTCACAGTGACATTGGTTTACTGTTTTATTTTTGTCTTTTAATGTTGTTTTATGTCTGTATTTGTCTGTGCACACTGGAGACTTTTTGCTAATGTATTCCAATGTGGTTTTTTTTTACTGCAAATGGCAAATAAACTGAATCTGAAAAAGTAAAACTTAAATAAGTGTCAATTAATCACAGTATGTCAAGAAAGCAATGACTTTTTAATTTCTAAGATATAAGAGCACTAATAACACAAATACATTTGTTTTTATGTTTTTTAGTTTTTTTCAACTTTTTAATTATTGGCCTTTACCAAATTGCGATGCAGTTTGACGGTAAAAGTGCCAAAAACCAAGTGATAGAAATGCAACAATGAGGAAGATTTTAGTTTCAAGCTTCAAGATAGTGACTCCTGCTTCAGTTTGTTTTTGTTCCTTTTGATTTGTCCCTGAAACAGACATCATTATTTTAGCATTGATCCAGAAGTTACAAAGGCAAGGTATAGTTGGAAAGTATTGGAATATTAGTGCAATTTTTATTATGAAACAAATGATTTTTATTCCAAAATGACATTGAATATGATTTACAGAATTCAATAGGTTAAACTTTAGGACATTTTTAAACCTTTTTGGACAGTTTTAGAAAAGTGGAAATCTCTGCAGACACAGGTTCAATCAGGGAATGTTTACTCCTGACAAAGACTGTGGTATTAATAAATGCTCCAGGTGACAAGTTTTGGTTTTGACTTTAGGTTTCCATCTCTTTCAGCCACATACTTACTTCATGCATTCAGCAGCAGCAGCTTATAACACTTATTGAATTAATATTTTGAAAGCAAAAATAGAAACATTTACAACATTAAAAACAAGAAAATAGTCAATTGTATGATATGTCGTGGATTACGTTTTTGTGTATCTTTGACTTTTAAACTTACACCCATGAATAAAGTTTGCGGGAAGAATAATAGTTAAATAGTCAATTATAATAAAAAATTAAAAGAACACATTACACTACAGTAAGTGAAAGTTCTGTTGTAGGAACGCTCTTAGTAATTATGCCAATATTTTTATGCAAAGAGAAACATTAAAAACAATAAAATAGTCAAATGTCTGAACAATTCTGACAGTGTTAACTACATAGCTAACTAGTTAAATTACTAACTAGTTTAACTAACTAGCTAGCTAGATGATGTCAGTGTATTTATGTCCATACTGTAAACACATTTTCCCTTGCACTTATGATAAATACACCTTCCTTCTCAACAAAGAGGTAACTTTAGTAATAACATGATTTTCACGTTAACTTTTTTATCTATTTCTTTTACCGTTAATATTATAGATCCATGGTTCGTTGCCGTTGATGGCTCGCGCTCACATCGAAACAGGAAACGGTACCTTCAAAATAAAATCTCAAACCGGAAATTTACCGTAACTGAAAATAAAATGTAATGTAAAATAATTTGCTGTTGTTTACCATGTTAATGGTTAAAAACACACTCAAATAAACAAATGAATGAATGTACAACGAAAATACATAGAAATTGCGTGCTAAGTTACTATTTCTTCAGTGTTTAAACTGGAATATAACACATCCATAACATAGAGACGCTGTGGCCTGTCTTTTGAGAAACATGTGCTGTTGTTCTGCTGCTGCCTGCTGTTCAAACATGTACATTACAACATACATCTTTATTTTTAATTATGAAGTGCTTTGTGATCCTGGTCTGTGAGAGGTGTTCAACAAATAAACCGTACCTAATTACAACCACGGCCCCTTCATCTGAATGTGGAGACATGAAAAGCCTCCATTCTAGACTAATTCTTTTAAAAAGAGGAGGGTCTAAGGACTGTGAAAATCCAGGACATTTATTTATTATCATTTATAGACAGTGGTTGTCCCGCTTCAAACCAATGGCTCCTATGTGTTTGTCATCATTGCATTTCCTGTGTTCTCGTTTGTTTCTATGATCTGTTGTTGAGGAATTGACAACGTTGTAAAGTCCTCTATAGTTGCTGTTGAAATTTAGAGCGATACAAAAGAACTTGTGTTAGATGCACTTTAAAATGAATATTGACTCAAAAGAAACATAATGTTTAATTTCAGATCATTTTTTATTTAGTTTGATCATTTCCAAATGTCAGATACATATATAAGGATCTGAAGTCTACAGGCTCAGTCCAGCGCCTCCAGAGCCAGTGCATGTATCATCTCTTTTTTCTCTCCATATTCTTTTGCCATTGTCTCCATCTGTTTTTGAGTGAAGTCCTTGGTGTTTTCGATGAAGGTCCTCAAATCCTCCACAAACTCGGCCACAGAGGGGAACTCCACCTCCAGGCCGTTCTCATGTACCAGCTCGTCCATTCTCCCCACCATCTTCAGGCCCTGGTCCAGGACTTTAGCTGAGAACTCATTGCTCAATGCATATCTCTGCAGGAAAGATAAAGGCAAGGCGTGTTTGTTCGTATAGAACAGTTCATACACAAGGAAACTCAAAGTGATGAACAAAACAAGATAGAAACAATCACACAAGGCGTGAAAATCACAGATAATCACAGTGCATTAAGAAAGCAATCACTTTTTTAGTGTTCTTGGCTTTAAAAGCACTAATAACAAAAAAAGAACCCTCAGTTTTTAAATTATTGGTCTTTACCAAATGGTTGAGATGCAGTTTGATGGTAAAAGTGCCTAGAACCAAGTGGTAGAGATGCAACAATGAGGCAGATTTTAGTTCCAAGCTTCAAGATGTAGTGACTCAAAAAGTGATCCACAAAATGGTTAAGGAAAACATCCATCCATTTTCTTCCCCTAAATCCATTTCTGGGTCGGGGGGTGGCAGTTAGAGCTTCACCAGTACACATAGCACCAGCCCCTCACTGATCCTCCTGCAGGTGGTGAGTCCACAGGAGCTGAGATCTTTCAGCGGGGTTTCAGTCATGAGGTGGGTCTTAAGGTGGGCTCGAACCCATGACTTTCAGGCTCAAAGGCCAATGGTCTACCAACTGAGCCACTGTCGCCACCAAGGAAAATATTAAAGGGTTAGAAAGACTTTATCTGGAGCAGAAACACAGATTCTTACCTTAGTGAGGTCCAGCTTCTCCTGCTTCAGTTTGTTTATGTTCCTAATGATTTGATCCTGAAACAGACACCATTATTGTAGCAGTGATCCAAAGTTACAAACGGAAAGTATTTTTGGTAAACTGAAATATTAGCGCCATTTTTATTGCGAAATATGAAATGATTTTCATCCCAAAATGACATGTTAAAGATGATTTACAGAATACTAAACATTTAACTTGAGCACAATTTTTGGACAGTTTTAGAAAAGCGTTCGAACAGCGTTTTAAGACCAAAAAGAGAAGTTAAAGATAGCCCTCGGCCCAAAGAGTTCAAATGTGACTCACAAGGATTTGTTACAATCAAGTTGTAAATAGTTTTTTGTAAATGAATGAAGACAATATTTATATGTCTCATGTGACATCACAATATTGCAAAGAGCATTTGGTTTAACACCGTGGTTCAGGACAGCTTGAAAATACGTCCTATTAACTAAGATGTCAAAAGTCAATTTCTCTGTAAATTCTAGGCCAAGTATGATCTATCTTTTTTCTCATAAAGGTGTCTAAAAGGAGTGTCCTTATTTAAAATACCAGATGTGCCAGAAGAAAGGACTTGACTATATTAAAAATGGCTTGTGCATTGGCCCCTGTCCTCAGCCTGAACACGACCTGGACTGTACTAGTTTATTGCTTTTCTTCCAAATAAAAGTCTATCGTAATAATAATAGATTTTAATCTTATACATTTCATACAAAAAATACAAAACCAAAAACAAGATATAAAATAAACTGTAATCTACTTATTTGATACTAAATTGGTGACATGTATATGATGTTTGTATGAAAAATTATGACACGGACAAAAAAACCAAATATTAATTTACCAGTCGCTCGGGGTCGAAGGCGGCGCAGCTGAGGCCGAGCAGACAGAGCAGGACGACGGAGACCTGGAGGCTGGACATCTCTGCAGACTCAGGTTCGATCAGGGAATGTTTACTCCTGGCAAGAAGTGTGGTATTTATACATGCTCCAGGTGACGGGTTTTGGTTTTGGTTTTGACTTTATGTTTCTATCTCTGTCAGCCACATACTTACATCATGCACTCATCATCAGCAGCAGCTTCTAATGGCACTGATTGAATGATTTATTGACAATGTTGTGTGACCGGTTTGTTTCGTTTGTTTAAAGTGCACACCTATTTATCAGAAATAAAAAGTGAAAGGAAAACGAAAGACTTCTGTTAGAGTCTCCATCCATCCATCCATCCATTTTCTTCCGCTTTATCTGTTGCCGGGTCGCGGGGGCAGCAGTCTAAGCAGAGACGCCCAGACTTCCCTATCCACACACACTTCCTCCAGCTCGTCCGGGGGGACCCCAAGGCATTCCAAGGCCAGCTGAGAGACATAGTCTCTCCAGCGTGTCCTAGGTCTTCCCCGGGGCCTCCTCCCAGTGGGACGTGCCGGAACACCTCCCCAGGGAGGCATCCAGGAGGCATCTGGAACAGATGCCTGAGCCACCTCAACTGGTTCCTCTTGACGTGGAGAAGCAGCGGCTCTACTCCGAGCTCCTCCCGTGTGACTGAGCTCCTCACCCTATCTCTAAGGGAGCGCCCAGCCACTCTCCGGAGGAAGCTCATTTGACCGCTTGTATCCGCGATCTCGTTCTTTCGGTCATTACCCAAAGCTCATGACCATAGGTGAGGGAGGGAATGAAGATTGACCGGTAAATTGAGAGCTTTGCCTTTCGGCTCAGCTCCCTCTTCACCACAACGGTCCGATACAGCGACCGCATAACTGCGCACGCTGCACTGATCCGCCTGTCAATCTCACGCTCCATTCTTCCCTCACTCGTGAACAAGACCCCGAGATACTTGAACTCCTCCACTTGAGGAAGAACCTCTCCACCCACCTGTAGAGGGCAAGGCACCTTTTTCCGGTCGAGCACCATGGCCTCGGATTTGGAGGTGCTGATTCTCATCCCAGCCGCTTCACACTCGGCTGCAAACCGCCCCAGTGCATGCTGCAGGTCCTGGTTCGTTGGAGCCAACAGGACAACATCGTCTGCAAACAGCAGAGATGGAATCCTGTGGTCTCCGAACCGGACCCCCTCCGACCCCTGGCTGCGCCTCGATATTCTGTCCATAAACACAGTGAACAGAACCGGTGACAAAGGGCAGCCCTGTCTGAGGCCAACATTCACCGGGAACAGGTCTGACTTACTGCCGGTAATGCGAACACAGCTCTGGCTCCGGTCATACAGGGATCGGATGGCCCTCAGCAGAAGACCCCCGACCCTTGTACTCCCGGAGAACCCCCCAAAGGACACCCTGGGGAACACAGTCGAACGCCTTCTCCAAATCCACAAAGCACATGTGGACAGGTTGGGCGAACTCCCATGAACCCTCAAGTATCCGATGGAGAGTATAGAGCTGGTCCAGTGTTCCGCGACCGGGACGAAAACCACACTGCTCCTTCTGAATCCGAGATTCGACCATCGGCCGTAGCCTCCTTTCCAGTACCTTCGAGTAGACCTTACCGGGGAGGCTGAGGAGTGTGATCCCACGATAATTGGAACACACCCTCCGATCCCCCTTCTTGTAGAGAGGGACCACCACCCCGGTCTGCCACTCCATTGGCACCGCCCCCGATCGCCACGCGATGTTGCAGAGACGTTTCAGCCAAGACAGTCCCACAACATCCAGAGACTTTAGATAGTCAGGACGGATCTCATCCACACCCGGAACCTTGCCACCATGGAGGCTGCCAACCACCTTGGTGACCTCAGCCAGGGAGATGGATGTATCCGCCCCAACATCCTCAGCCTCTGCCTCTGTAATGGAGGACGTGACGGGGGGATTGAGGAGAACCTCGAAGTATTCCTTCCACCGCCCGACAATATCCCCAGTCGAGGTCAGCAGCTCTCCACCCGCACCGTACATGGTGTTGGCAAAGAACTGCTTCCCCCTCCTGAGGCGCCGGATGGTTTGCCAGAATCTCTTCGAGGCCGACCGATAGTCATGCTCCATGGACTCTCCGAAATCCTCCCAGTCCCGGGTTTTTGCCTCTGCAACAGCCCGGGCCGCAGCACGCTTGGCATGCCGGTACTGGACAGCTGCCTCAGGAGTCCCCCGAACCATCATGGCTCGATTGGACTCCTTCTTCAGCCTGACAGCATCCCTTACTGCCGGTGTCCACCACCGGGTTCGGGGGTTGCCGCCGGGACCAGCACCAGAGACCTTGCGACCACAGCTACGAGCCGCCGCATCGGTGATTGAGGCAGAGAACAAGGTCCACTCGGACTCCATGTCCCCCTCCTCCGCTGGGACCTAGGAGAAGCTCTCCCGGAGGTGTGAGTTGAAAGTCCGTCTGACAGGGGGCTCGGCGAGACGTTCCCAGCAGACCCTCACTATACGCTTGGGTCTGCCAGGTCTGACCGGCTTCTTCGCCTGCCAGCGGATCCAACTCACGACCAGGTGATGATTGGTTGACAGCTCCGCCCCTCTCTTTACCCGAGTGTCCGAGACACACGGTCGAAGGTCAGATGATACGACAACAAAGTCGATCATCAACCTCCGGCCTAGGGTGTCCTGGTGCCACGTGCACCGGTGGACACCCTTGTGCTCGAACATGGTGTTCGTGATGGACAAACTGTGACTGGCACAGAAGTCCAACAACTGAACACCGCTCGGGTTCAGATCAGGGGGGCCTTTCTTCCCAATCACCCCTCTCCAAGTGTCACTGGCAATTCCCACATGGGTGTTGAAGTCCCCCAGGAGAATAACGGAGTACCCGGGCGGTGCACCGTCCAGTACCCCTCCCAAGGACTCCAAGAAGGCCGGGTACTCTGCACTGCTGTTAGGCCCGTAGGCCGTCACAACGATGAGAGACTTGTCCCCCACCCGGAGGCGGAGGGACTTGACCCTCTCATTCACCGGGGAGAACTCCAACACGTGGCGGCTGAGATGGGGGGCAATGAGAATGGCCACCCCAGCTCGCCGCCTCTCCCCGCGGGAAACACCAGAAGGGTGGAGCGTCCAACCCCTCTCAAGGAGTTGGGTTCCAGAGCCCGAGCTGTGTGTGGAGGTGAGGCCGACTATCTCTAATCGGTATCGCTCAACCTCCCCCACGAGCTCGGGCTCCTTCCCCCCGAGTGAGGTGACGTTCCACGTCCCAAGAGCCAGATGTTGTGTGTGCGGACTGGGTCGCCGAGGTCTCCGCCTTCGACTGCCGCCCAGTCCTCTTAGCACCGCGACTGTTAGAGTCTCATTATATAGAATTGTGTACGAATTATAATACATTGTAATCATATAGCATTCTTTTGGACACACAAGGACACTTTAAAAGAGGACAGGTTAATACGAAAGAATGAATAAATAAATAAAAAGGTATGGGACGGGGAGCCAGTGGAGTTGTTTGAGGACAGGGGTGATGTGGTCTCTGGAGCGGGTGTGGGTGACTCCTGAATGTATTGCAGTTTTTGAAGTAGAAGGGAGACCACAGAGAAGGGTTCTGCAGTAGTGGCTAGAGCATCACCACCTTCTTTTAGTGTCCAAAAAATGCTCCATGTACTGTAACAGGTTTTGGTTTTGGTTTTGAGCTCAGCAGCAGCAGCTTAAAGCACTGATTGAATGATACAAATGGATTAACAACAAGTTTGACCTGTTTGTAAAAGTGCACATCTATTTATCAGAAATGATCCAGTGAAAGGAAATGGAAAGACTTCTGTTAGAGATTCATATTAAATTATGTAGAGTTCTTTTGGATGCAAAAAGATGCTTCAAAAAGAGATCGGTGAAGAAGAAAAAATAATTTAATAAACCAGTTAAAATAAACCAACAAAGGCTCAGTCCTCAGGGTTCAGAAGGCCCTGTCCTCAGGGTTTCAGAAGGCTCGGTCCTCAGGGTTCAGAAGGCTCGGTCCTCAGGGTTCAGAAGGCTCGGTCCTCAGGGTTCAGAAGGCTCAGTCCTCAGGGTTCAGAAGGCTCAGTCCTCAGGGTTCAAAAGGCTCGGTCCTCAGGGTTCAGAAGGCTCAGTCCTCAGGGTACAAAATGCTCGGTCATCAGGGTTGGACACATAAAAACACTGGGACATTGAGTTGATGATTTCCACCATATAGTAAGTATGTAAGTATGTAAATGAGTCTCAACAAATGTACACACACACACACACACACACACTTTGTACTAAGGACACAGCCAGCCATCCCACTGTTACATCTTGTATTCCCATGGTTCGAGCCTCCCATCACATGGCCTAACCACCCCTTTCCTCCTTAGCCTCTAGGATCTGACTTTCCATAAATAAAAACAATATACATCTTTATTCATCTTGTCTTCAGATATAGACCGCGCACTGCCTCCTTCCCCTCTCTTTGATTTCTCTCCAGTTCCTAAAATGGACTGCACTGACTGCCCCTGAGCCCAGAGAGATAGACGGGGGAGAGAGGGAGAAGGGAAAGTCCCCATCCGTCCACCCATTGGCAATAATTATCTTTCTGTTTTTTGAGGCTTGACTAATGCCCCCTGGACCATCCACCTGGAAATTCACACTAACCAGAAGGCACCGCCACTACCATAAGCCACATTTGGTAGAGCAGCACATGGTAGTGGCGGTAGTTGAAGGTTCTGCATCTGAAGTTTCTTTTAGCCCGTCTGTTTCTGAGAGAAATTCTATTGCTAGCACAGCATGTACTGCCAATCTGGAATGCCTGGTCTTGAGCTGCCGCCCTTTTTATCTTCCCCGTGAGTTTTCAGTGATATTTTTATGTGCTGTTTACATTCACCCACGTGCGGATTACAAAGTAGCCCTACAGGATCTGAGCGAGATCCTTCACAAACATGAGTCTGCTCATCCTAACGCAGTCATCATTGTTACTGGGGATTTCAATAAATGTAATTTAAAGACTGTACTCCCGAACTTTTACCAACATGTGACTCGAGCTACAAGAGGAGCACATGTTCTGGA